CCCGTGTCCCCTGCATCGGCAGGCGGACTCTCAACCACTGCGCCACCAGGGAAGCCCAGGTTGTGTGTTTTTGGTTGGTTGGTTGGTTGGTTTTTTAAATATTTATTTCGTCGTTGTGGCATGTTTAGTAGCACCATGTGTGATCTTATTTGCAGCATGTGAACTCTTAGTTGGAGCATGCATGGGAGATCTAGTTCCCTGCCCAGGGATTGAACCTGGGCCCTCTGCATTCGGAACGCTGAGTCTTTCCCACTGGACCACCAAGGAAGTCCCCAGGTTAAGTGTTTACTATGAACAAGGCGCCTAGCTAAGTGCTGTGGGAATATAGTTGTAGAACACACAAGCCCACAGTATTGCACACCCTTTCTGCCTTTCCTGTCCAATAAGCCTCATCCTGTTCTCTGCTCACAGTAATCCCAGGAGCCCTTCAGATCCCTCCTCAAAAGCCATCATCTGCCCAAAAGTCTTCCCCAACTCCAGGCTGAGTCACTCTCACCCTCAAGCCCCCCTCCCCAGTGCAAGATGCACAGCCCACGTACTCAACAGACAGCTCTGATAGGGCTGGGGTGGGTGGTATCATACATGATCTGGCCCACAGAACTCTACCACCTTCCCCTCACCGAACATTTCCCTTGGAAAAAGATGCCCCTGTCACTGAGCAGGGTGGGGGTGGCGTGGTATGTGTTAGTTTTCAGCAAACACCCAGAGTTAGTAGGAAGGCAGGCACTGCTTCTAATAAGACATTACTGAACTTCCTGCTTTTTATGAAATACCACTGATAAATTATTATTTACGTCAGAAACAACACAGAGGATCATAACATACACTTGAGCACAAGAGATCTGTGCTAAGCATAGAGATCTCCTGGGGCTCCTGGAGCATCACTGTCGTCCACTCTGGGTCTGCTTTGACCCTACTGAGGCCTATCTTAACTATTTTATTTATTATTATTATATTTTGGCCACATCTCATGGCATGCGGAACTCCCCCAACCAGGGATCCAACCCTCGTCCCCTGCAATGGAAGTGCGGAGTCTTAACCTCTGGACCGTCAAGGAAGTCTGATGCCTATCTTAAAGTGTCTGTCCCCACAGCCTGAGGTAGAAATGACAAGGAGGCAGCCCAGGCTCAGCAACTCTTGGTAATGCAACTCACCCAGCCCCCTTAGCCCCAGACCCTTCCTGCTGGCTGGGAGGCCCAGATGGCCTCTCTGCAGCCTGGAGCAGGGAGACAGTTGACCCCTGGGATGGCCAGGCTCAGCCCTGACCCCCAGGCAAGGGGCAGGATGAGGTGCTCAGGGCAGAAGTGTCCTTTGGGAATCTGATGAGGGAGGTCCGGGAGGGTGGTCCCTTGGTGGATGGTCAGGGGGCCAGATGTCTCAGGGCAGCCTGCAGGGACTTCTTCAGGAAAGTGGTATTGAGCTCCAGAGCTGCAGCCAGGCCTAGCCTCTGGGGCTCACTGATCTGGAGAGAAGGAAGAATCATGTCTGGACTCTAGCAACTGATCCCTCCCCTCTCCCCTCTGCCCCTGGGCTCTGTTTAGTTAGAAGAGAGAAATCCAGGACACAAGGACAATAGGAGGAGATGACTCCCTGAGCAATCTACCCTCATTATCTCACCATGCTTAAGCAAGGTGTTTGGATTCAGGTAGACCTGGGGTCAAATACTAACTGCACAACGTACTATGTCAGCCATATTAAGAATAGTTGACAATTATTAGGTGCTTACTATGGGGCAGCACTTTATATGCATGACTTCATTTAATCCTCACAATCCTCCCATTTTACAGATGAGGAAACTGAGGTTCAGAGACGCTCCACTGTGGCTGCCACATTCCTTCTAGGCCACTCTCTTCCCTGACCTGTTGCTGCAACCTCTGACCCATCTCTGCCCTGTACCTTCACTCTCCAATCCCCACTCCTTGCCAAGGCCAGAGGTTTCTTTACAGAATACAAATCTAATCAGGTCACTCCAGCTGAAGGCCCTGAGATAACCTCTGATGCCTCATATTGCAGGTCCTTCCAGGATCTACAGAGGGTCTTCAGAGGATCCAGGAGCTTCCTGAAATTGTGCATAAGATGTGTATTCATATTTCCATTTTTCTGGGAGGATGTATGCCTTTCACCAAATCATCAGATAGGCCTATGATCCCAAGAAAAGGGTTAAGAGGCAAGAGAAGACCTGGTCTTCAAGATAAAGTCCCAGCTCCTCACCATAACCTACAGGGCCCTCCGTTAGATGCTACCATGACTTGGCAATGTGACCTCGGGCAAATTACTTTAACCTGTGTCTCAATTTCTTCACCTATAAAATGGAGCTAATAATAGTATCTTCTCATAGGACTAACACCTGGAATAAACTAGTGAGTTAACATATGCAAAGGGCTTAGAACGATGCCTGGAACATATCAGGGGCTACAAGTACCAGCTCTCAGTATTTTAGCTCTCTAACTTCATCCCCTACAGCCATCTACTCTTGGGATTTTAGGCCTCAGCTACAGTGATGTACCTGCAGATCCCCTGGGACATTGAGTGCTTACACCGTTTCTTTTGCCTGGAATGCCCTTTCCTTCATCTCCGCCCTTGACTACCACTCACCCTTTAAGAGTCAGGGAAGCCTGTCCCAACTCCCAACCACAAACAAGGTTTAGTTGCCCCCTTTTCCTCTGTCATCAAATGCCCTGTGCATACCTTTCACCTGGCTCCTACCAGATATTACAATGAGCCAGTTATCATCTCTCTCCCCTCTCACTAACTGGGGGAGAGGGTCAAGTCCAGGACAGAAACTGTGATATGGTCACTGTTGATTCCCTAATGCCCCAGATAGCATCTGGCCCACAGCAGTGTTGGCTGGATGAATGAACTCCTAAGCAGTCTCACTCCCCTGTCTTGGGCTTGAACTTGTGGTTTCCAAGGCTAACACTCAGGGTTTTCTCCCTGGCAAACATATACCCTCGTGGCAGGCTCAGAGCAGCAGGAACAGCCCTCATGGCCCTACCAATACTCACATTGGCCCGATACTTGGTTACCACTGTCAGCGTGAGCTTGGCATAGGCCATGGACGTGGTGGCTGCTGGCCCCTCTTTACAGAGTTTCTCCATCAACACACTGAACTTCTCAGAGGGCATCTCCACCTGCACACATTAGGAGATCGGACAGTAGCACAAGAAAGGGCCCTGGATTCAACTCCCAACTCCATCACTTCCTAACCAGGTGATCCTGTGCAGGTCACTTAACTGAGACTCAGTTTCCACATCTATAAAATGGGGCTCATGATGTCAAACTCTGAAGACTGTGAAAAGGATTAAATGAGATTATGCACATAAAGCCTAGCACACAGGTCTCAAAAAATGGTGGCCACTGTTACACAGGCTCAGATTAGGAGATGGGGGACAAGGATCCCTCATCTGGCTTAGTGGTTGAAGATATAAAGGAGAGAGGTCCCAAGGGGGCACTGGCAGTATAATAACAACAGATCTTCATAGTCACAATTTAATAAACGCTTATTATGCGTTAGGTACCATTCTGAGCACGTTACACCAATTATACCATTTAAACCTCACCCCAGTTTTATGTGGTAGGTGCTATCATCACTCCCCTTTTGCAGATGAGGAAACCGAGGCATAAAGAGGTTAAGTCAACTACCTACGTTATAAACAAATGAGGCAGAATTTTAGGTACTGATATATGGAAAAACTGCCGAAATGTACTGTTAGATGAAAAAAGCAACATGCAGAGCACTGAGCTTGGTGTGTTACCATCTATGTAAAAGGCAGGGGAAAAGTAAATTTCACCATGTGTCCTTGTATATAGACAGCATCTCTGGGAGGGTTCCCCTGCAACTAGTAACACTGATTAGCCCTGCGGAGGGGAATCTCGGTGGCTGGGGAAATTTTTTTCACTATATCCTTTTAAGCTTTCAAAATTGTGAACATATGAATCTATTACCTATTCAAAAATAAATTAGGCACTGTCCCTGGCAGTCCAGTGGTTAGGACTCCACGCTTCCACTTCAGGGGGCACGGGTTCAATCCCTGGTTGGGGAACTAGGATCCCGCATGCCACGCAGTGCGGCCAAAAAATAAATTAATTAAATTAAAAAATAAATTAAATTTACACACACACATTCAAAAAGTCCCTCCCCAAGGCCACACAGCTACTAAGAGGCAGAGCTGGGATTCACCATGCAGTCAGCTCTCTGCTACCAGCCTTTCAAGCCCCTGGACCCTCCCACTGTCACGGGCACCCTGCCGGAGGGCAGTCATCCTGCTTGCCCCTCCATCACTGAAGGGGTCAGACACCCAGGAGCTGCACACCCAGCCACAGCACTGCAGCACTTCTTTGTCCACTCTCCCCCGAGGCAGCCTGCTCACCTGCCGCTCCAGGAGTGACTGCAACACCAAGAAAGTCTCTTCCTTCCAGGGCAGCTCCAAGATCTGTCTGCAAGGCACAGGCCCCAGTGAGGAAAGCTCAGCTTCCCACCTGAGCCTGAGTATCTACTGCTCCTACCCCAAGGCAGGGCAAGGCCCTGGGGACAGCCAAGATCTCCAGCCAACAAAGGAAGTAGTCAGAGCCCCCCGATGCTGGCGGCCATCTAGCAGCCACTGCTGCAGAGCCCATACTCAGTGCTGGGAAGGCCACAGCCCAAGACCCCCGGGACCTGACATGAAGGATTTGGCAGTGAGAGGTACAAAGGTCCCCTGGAAAATAACCAGGAGTCGACAGTGCCTCCTGAGTTTGAAAGCGGAGGACGACCCAGGGAAGAGGAGGATGATGATGGGTGAGATGACACACAGGAGGCTTCCTAGAGAAGGCGAGACCTCCCTGCGGAACCCAGCCCACGGTGAGGTCCACTCCAGCTGCACCTACTGTCCTCAGCTTGTTTGGAAAAGCAGGATGTCAGATGGAAACGGTGCGGCTTCAGACTTGGTTTTGATCCCAGGCTTTTGCACTCGCTGGCTGTTGACCTTTGGCCACCTCCCTCAACCTCTCTGAGCTTCAGTTTTTCCATCTCTAAGGCGGCCACAGCACTTACCTCACAGGATTGCATGAAGACTAATGAAGTAATAAATCTAAAGCACAGAGAAAGTGCTCAGTGACTGGTGGCTGGTAGTATTTTTGCGACTGTCCCCTTCTCATATTATACTTAGCATTTCATATTTCATGTTAGTGTCCAATGAGATCTCACCTACTCATTATTTCTACATGTCTGTATCTTGACTCCCCAATTTTGATACCTAAATTTAACACCAATTTAATAACAATATTTGAGCACTCACTAGGTGCCAAATAATGTGCCGAGGCCATTATATGCATTATCACATTTACTATCTAGAAAAACTCTACAGAGTTCATACGTGGAAACAGAGGCTCAGAGAGATGGAATAACCTGTTTAAAACTCACACATTTAAATAAAAGGCAAGGTTGAGACCTGCAACCATGTCTGTCTGACTCCAGAGCCAGTGCTCTGAACCACTAAGCCATGTTCCAACTACACCAAGAACTCAAGAGCAGGAGTGCCAGCCTCTTCGCATTCCCGGGGGCACCTGGCACAGAAGACTGAAACCCTGGGCTTGGGAAGGTGCATGGGATGGCAACTAACGGGGCCACAGGTGGGAAGGCACAAGCCAGACTCAGGACAGCGAGAGGGGGCAATGGCTGTACTACTGCCTGTATTTCAGGCACGGGGCCTGGTACCCAGCCAGCTCCAAGTCCAGAATGCCAAGAGCAGGTTTGGCCAGAGGGAGGAGGTGCGGGTGGGGCCAGCGTGGAGCTTGTACACTCACCCCAGCATTAGAGCCTGCATGTCCGGCTCCAGGGCCTCGTCCTTTGTAAGGCAACACAGTAACTCTGTTTGAGCTGGACCTGGGTGGGCGACAGCAGAGGGGAAAAGTCGGAGAAGCCGGCAGGAGAGAATGGGGCTAGCAGGGAACAAAATGCCTGGCCCTTTACAGGTGGCGTCGTCAGGGAAGCAACAGGTATCTTCATTTCTTGAAAACTCAGCTCCTGCCAGGGCCACCCAGGGGGTGAAGGGTGCTGGGAACAGACAGGGAAGAGCTACCAGGCCTGGGGCCCATTCCAGAATTACCTGTTCCTGGGGCTTGGAGCACAGGGCCAAGGAGGGCTCTGCAGACGGCATAGGTGTACTTAGTACAGAAGGAGGTCAGGGCAGTTGTGAGCAAGCGGGAGGCTGAGGAAGTCAGGGAGAGAATCTACAGCCAATGGGGAGGAAAATATTAATTTCTTTCTTCTTCCTTCCTATCAGTGTTTATTGAACACATATTTCAGAGGCTCACACATTACAGTACAGAGAAAAAAGAAGTTCTTTTATCTAGGACTCACATGGATCCACTCATTGGAAAGGACACATAGCTCCCTTCCCCAGCTCCCAAATCCCTGATCCCAAACCCCAAATCCCTTCCGCTTCTGTAAGAATCTGGGGCCCAAGAGGGAGGAGTTAGATGCCAGGTGGGTAGATGGCCTAGGGGCTATGCCCTTCCCTTGCCCCAGGCTCCCCAGACAAGCAGATGCATGCAAGGCTGGGAACACCCTCTCCCACCCTACTGAGGCTTCAGACTCTCTCCCTCACTGTCCCTGGCACTCCATGTGCATCCCAGCGCACCTACCCGTCCAAGGAAGAGGCTCCTGGTCAGCACAGTAGCATTGCTGAGGCTGAGGTCTGGTGAAAGGGCCAGCAGCCAGGTGCAGAGCTGCAGGAGACCTGTGTCCGAGAGCTGCGGGAGCTGCAGCTGGGCACACACCAGGTCCACCTGCCAAGGAGGAGGGAGGACACCGGGACACTCAGCCTGTCTCTGCTGGGCTGTCTCAAACCAACCGGGCAGCAGAAGGGGCGGGGCCAGGACACTCCAGGGTAAGGTAAGGTGGGGAGAGCTGCCCTACGGGGAGGAACCAAGGGCTATAAGAAACCACTGAGGGTCACCCCGGCCCCTGAGACTAAAAAAACCCAACAAAATCCCCTCCCCAAATTCCTACATGAGGCAGGGAAACACAAACTTAAATGGAGAGAGGGACCGTGTCCTCAGGGCCAGGCGGTTTTTCTGGACTCACCTGGCCAGGACTGCATTCGTGGAGAAGCTGCAGCTCAACTGGTGGGGTGCCCTCCAGCCTTTCCAACCCCTGGGAAGGCAAATCCCATGTTAGGACCTGCAGAGCCCTCAGTGACAAGTCACTGAGGCCACCCCTTCAATTGACAGAGTGGATGGCTAAGGACCCCAGAAGGTGCTACTAGAGGAGAGGAACTTGCCTCGAGTTAGAACCTGCCTCAGGTTAGAGTACATACTTGGACCAAGAAAAGCCTTTGCAGGGACTGTCCTCAGACCTTCATTCCAACCCCCTCACCCAAACAGCCTGTGCCTCACTGCACTGGGGCTTCCCTGGGCACAGCTGGGGTCCAGGCAGGGGGCGGAAGAAGGGTTATGGGTAGCAGAGTAGGGCCAGTCACCTTCCCGAGGGTCTTGAGCAGCTGCTGCAGCCTGGGAACTTGTTCCTGCAGAGGAGAGCCCAGTCACTGCTATGTCCCCACCCACGCAGCATGGCCCCCAACCCAGACCCAGCCCCCTCTCTGAGAAGGCCCCAGGTCAGTGGGCACTAGCAGGCAAAGATGATTCAAGACAGCCAGAATGTAAACCCTGCAAAGTGCTTAAAGAACTCAAACTAGACAAGACCTATGTAAACCCAACTGAACAGACTTGTCTTCTCTGCATACATCCTAATGGGGACAGACCCAGGCCTTGGGCTGGGAGGACAGGCTGGATGCTGGTATGATTCCCCCATTCCCATAAGATGGGCGGCAGGGGTACCTCCAGAGCCTTTCCTCTTCCGTGGTACCCTTAACCTCACACTATTGATCATTAGGTCAAGGGCTCCCACCTCCAGTAACTCCTGTCCCCACCGCCTCCTCAGAATCTGTGGAGCAGAAACTACATTCCTTCAACCCCACCTCCTTCCCCTTGCTCCACGGACTACAGTCATCCCAGGTGGGACACAGTATCCCAACCGGCTTAAACCCCCCATTCCTGAAGAATCACTCGAAAGCAGCCTCCTCACCCTAGTACCTGGATAGCTCTGGGCAACTCCAAACTCTCAGGTAGGCCCTTAGCATCCTCTAGACTCTGACCAGCCTCACTGGGCTTAGCCCCCAAAACAGGCTGGTTCTTAATGGACGATGCACCTCCTCCATTGGCCAGGGATTCCAAAGATTCATGTTCAGGTCTGTTTTCCTCATGACTTTCTTCTTCTTCCTTTTCCAAACACCGGAGCCTTTTGGGGGCCCTCTCCCCCTCAGGACTGGCAGGCTCTTCCTCCGCTTCCTTTCTGCGTTTCCCAGGCCGCTGGGAGTCCTTGTCCTCCTCCTGTTCTGTCCCTTTGGGATCTGGAGCCTGGGGCAACTTCAACTTCCTGCCCCCTTGGCCCAGCTGCCTACACAGGCCTCGGAGCTGTCTCTGGCACCTTTTAGACAGTGGGGACGCTCCCTCAGTGGAAACCCCAACACCCAGATCCCTTCGCAGAAATTCCCCAAGGGCCCGGAGCCAGGGATCAGGGTCGGGGCTTGGATCCTGCTGCACAATCTGCAGCACAGGGTGGAGACTGCTTTCAGGCAGCGACGGCCAAACAGCCATCAGTAGGGACATCAGGTTCCTCTGGCATAATGGGGGCAATCGCAGCAGCAGTGGTTTCCTGGGTAGCAGAGGGAGAACAAGCAGTTAAGAGTGTCTTGCTGAAAGGAACATAGGGCAGACTGGGTAGAGCTAGAGGCTAGATGGCACCGGACAGACGGGGGCGCTGGTGGGCAGTACCTGCGAGTCAGTATGGCTGGAGGAGGGGACAGCATGGAAGTATTCAACAAGTGGGCATCTATTCTACACTACACTAGGCCCTGCTCTTTGACATCTCCTATTTCAGCTCAAAAATTCACGTTGAAACCTACCGTATAATAGATCCATGCTTGTTTTATGAAAAAAAGAAAAAGAAGCCCTTTCCCAAACTTTACGTAAAAATAATACTCCAGATACTGAGCAATGCTTAGCCTGCAGCCCTGTGCTCCCCTTGGCAGTCCCCTGAAACTCACAGGGTCACATCTGTCCAGCTCTGATGTTCCTTTCACTGAACTGAGTTCCTGAGAGGCAGAAGCAGTGTGTCTTTCCTCTGTGTCCCAGTACCCAGCACAACACCAGCCTAAAGTAGGCACTTGGTGCACATTTATTGACTGAATTAAATCTCTGAGAATAAGTGTTCACAGATCAGCAAGACTGCTGTGGACAGAGCAAATCTGTAACGTGACAAAGGCACGAATGCAGATGCTGTGTGACCTGAGGCTTGCTGGAGCGGCAAGCAGGTCATGAGTGCATCTAGCCCACCACCCATCACGCCTCTGCACCTCTGTATACATGACTTTGTGGGGCTGTTTGTCATCACACACAGAGGCACTTGGGATATATAAGAGAGGAACGAAACCTTTTATTTTTTTGTGGAGAAAAAACACTAAATGAGAGAAAAAACTAGAGTAGAAGTTAAAAAGATCATCAATTTGTGGTGGAGGATACTGAAGTAGAGAAGTGGGGAAGAGCCTACTCCAAGGACTTTTATCTTTTTTGTGCATGGATTCCCTTATCAGAATAAGAGGGTTTAATGCATAAAATACATAGCATTACAGAAGAAAACAATTATACTGCAGTACAGTTCTATCCAGGGACCGCAGGTTACGTTCCATTCCCCTGACTCCGTCCAGAAAGAGCCAGACCATTGGGTAAACATTTCTAGAGCGTCCAATTTGCGGATTCAGAAAATTCTCTTGAAAGAAATTCAAGATGGAGTGTGGGAAGAAAATAATAGAACTTCTATTTCTATTTATCTAAAACATAAAAAAGTATTACAAATATTTAAAATATGGATTGGCCCTCCATATTCCAGTGTCCAATAAGAATAAAATTTAAAAAATTTTCTATTTATGTATACTTGACAATGTACGTATTTTAACACATGTGTACACTTGACCTATACTGGAGGTAAGAGATGGAAGTGTGTGATTAAAATTAGTTAGAATCTACTGACATAATTATTCATTTACACCCAACCGAGGGCAGGTGTCTTTCGTCTAGGTAGGCAGCACTGCCCCCAGTACCTACGCCATGAGGGTCTGCCGGAGGCCCCTCCTCACAGGGCGCGCGGCAGGGACCCGCTCTCGGTGCAAGTATTTCACCTCTCTGTGCCTCGGTCTTCTCAACTAGAGAAGTGGTAGCGCCAGCCCCTGCCTCACACCACCGTGGAGGATGACGGGCGGGGCCCCGAGTTACGCCAGCGGCCGCCGCGACCAGCAGGACGGGAGGAACGCGGGCGGACGACTTACAGCTCCAGGCGACAGTCCGGGCCCTCCACGACTGGCTCCTCCCGGCACAGCGCCTCGAAGACGCGGTCCCAGCCGAAGGGCTCCCCGCCGCGGCCGCTCAGAGCCCGCAGCACCCCCAAGCCGCGCCGCGCCCCGTCGGGCCCCGCCTGCAGTGTCTGCAGCAGGAGGCGGGCGGGGGCCTCTAGGTGCGCCCAGGGCGCCGGCTCCGCGTCCTCAGCCTGAGCGGGTGCCGCCTCCGGGGCCTCCATGCCCGGGGGCCAGGGAGCCGCGCTGCCCCGCGCTCTGGTTTCGGGCCTCAGCTCCTGGGCCTGGGGAAAGGGAGGCGGACGACAGCGCCGGCCCTGATGCTGCGGCCGGCCCCTTCCCGCGCGCGCCACATTCCCTCCTCAGCGTTCGGGGAGGCTCTCGGACTCGCACCCCGCCTGCGCGCGAGACTAGATCTGTCAGAAACGAAAGGAACGGGGAAGTGCGGCCGAGGCTGGGCGCAAGGGCAGGCCGGAAGGGGCAAGTAGAATAGGAGTAGGGAGGCGGGGCGAAGGCCGAGTGCAGATCTGCTGATGAGGCGGGACCAGAGTGGGGGCGGTGCCACTAGGAAATCGGTTAGTGGGCGGGGTCATGCAAGAGCTAGAGTGGGGCGGGGCTTGATGGAGGATGGGTCCTCTGCGGCTGACCCTAACCTTGCTTCCTCCACCGATCGCTGAAGTAAGTGAGGGGGCGGGCGTACAGAATCGATATCAGGGATCCTGCTGGTTGTACTTCAGGATCCAAGCATCATTTAATTCTAGCTGACGCCCATGTTGCCTATAGATCATGGGCTTTGCCATAGGATTTGATCATAATTTACCATAACGTCACCTCTTCCACAGGCCATCAACTGCCATCATTCGGGTTTCAGTCCTCTCCAGAAATGTTTCATCTACTAATATACCCGACAATGGAGTCGCAGTAAAACCTAATGCCATCTATATGGCCAAAGGCATTATCTATATGGCCAAAAGCATTCCTGTAAACTTCCTCCCTAAGATCAAGAAGTGGCCTTTCTCTGGTTGTTTATAAGGGACCAAGAGTGCCTCCAATTCCTAGGGTTTTGGTTTAAGGAAATCTGCTGGAGGATGCAGGCTTCCAGCGAAGGGAGGGACCATAGCAGAGGATAGGAATAAAGGCAGAGGGGAGAAGAGCCCCACAGCACCCCATAAACCCTCCTTTGGGTGTCAGCTTGTATTTCCATCCTCCCAGCTTCTGCTGTCATGCACCCATCCACTCAATCAATAAATCTTTACTGAGCACCTAGTGCTCAGGATGCAGGGTACAAAATAAAGACCTTTGCCCTCATTGTTGCTGACCCTCAATTGAGGAGAGACAGACAACTAAGTAAGTAAACAATAGAATGTTTGTTTGTGATAAGTGCTTTCAAGGATATAGCAGGGAAGGGAGATAGAGTGAGGTAGTTTTAAATAGGTGGTCAGGAAAGAGTGCACTTGCTGGGGAGTAACAGGAGAGGTAACCAGACCAGATCTTGTGAGGCCTTGACATCATAGAGAGGAATTTGTCTTTCACCCTGAATAGTATGGGAAGCCATAGGCATTTGTGTGTGTGTGTGTGTGTGTGGTACGCGGGCCTCTCACTGCCGCGGCCTCTCCCGTTGCGGAGCACAGGCTCCAGACGCTCAGGCTCAGCGGCCATGGCCCACGGGCCCAGCCGCTCTGCAGCTTGTGGGATCCTCCCGGACCGGGGCACAAACCCGCGTCCCCTGCAACGGCAGGCGGACTCCCAACCACTGCGCCACCAGGGAAGCCCCATAGGCATATTTTGAACTGGATCTGATTTCCATTAGAGCCAAATTTTTTATTTTTTCCAAAATGATTTCAAGAGAGGGACTTCCCTGGTGATCCAGTGGTTAAGAATCCATCTTGCAATGCAGGGGATGCCGGTTCGATCCCTGGCTGGGGAACTAAGATCCCACATGCCACAGGACAACTAAGCCCGCGTGCCACAACTACTGAGCCCGCACACCACAACTAGAGAGCCCGTGTACTGCAACTACAGAGCTCATGAGCTCTGGAGCCCATGCACCACAACTAGAGAGAAACCCACACACTGCAAGGAAGAGCCTGTGCATCGTAACAAAAGATCCCGTGTGCCGCAACTAAGACCTGATGCAGCCAAAAAATAAAATAAAATTTTTTTTTAATGATTTTAAGGGCTTCCCTGGTGGCACAGTGGTTGAGAGTCCGCCTGTCGATGCAGGGGACACGGGTTCGTGTCCCAGTCCAGGAAGATCCCATATGCCGCAGAGTGGCTGGGCCCATGAGCCATGGCCGCTGAGCCTGCGCATCTGGATCCTGTGCTCCGCAACGGGAGAGGCCACAACAGTGAGAGGCCCGCGTACCGCAAAAAAAAAAAAGAAAAGATTTTAAGAGAGCTATTGGAAAAGACTATGGAGTATTTCTTAAATCAGTAGTCCCCAAAAGTTTTGTCACCAGGGACCGGTTTCGTGGAAGACAATTTTTCCACGGATGGGGGTGGGGGTGGGGGTGGGGTGGATGGTTTGGGGATGAGTCAAGCGCATTACATTTATTGTGCACTTTATTTCTATTATTATTACACTGTAATATATAATGAAACAATGATACAACTCACCACAATGCAGAATCAGTGGGAGCCCTGAGCTTGTTTTCCTGCAACTAGATGGTCCCATCTGGGGGTGACGGGAAACAGTGACACCCGAAGTGTGTTGCTTATGTCCAGTCTACTCCATAAGGTGCAGCTTCATCGTCACTTGCCACTCACTGATAGAGTTTTGATATGAGTCTACAAGCAGTTGATTTATTATGGACTCTGTGCAGTCAAACCCCTCTGCTATTGATAATCTATACTTTCAGCTGCTCCCCAGCGCTAGCATCACCGCCTCAGCTCCACCTCAGATCACCAGGCATTAGATTCTCATAAGGAGCGCGCAACCTAGAACCCTCGCATGCGCAGTTCACAGTAGGGCTCGCGCCCCTCTGAGAATCTAATGCCACCGCTGATCTGACAGTAGGCGGAGCTCAGGCGGTAATGTGACCGATGGGGAGCGGCTGTAAACACAGATGAAGCTTCCCTCAGCGCTCACCCCCTGCTCTGCGGCCCGGTTCCTAACAGGCCACGGACTGGTATCGGTCCGTGGCCCGGGGATTGGGGACCTCTGTCTTAGATAGTGCCTGCTTTGCAAAGGGCAAAAGAGTAGGAAATAAGTTTCTTCCAGGAACCTCTATCTCAGTTTATCAGTTCTAACTTCATAGGAGATGGTTTTGGTCTTCAAATGACCAAATGATGTTGGGGGCAAAGGGGTGGAGGCCCTGATAAGTAGTGGGCGGGGCCAAGAATGCTAAACAGCCTTCAATGCCCTGCCCATCCTCAACTGCCAGCCTTATCGTGGTGGCTCTGGTTCATGCCCACCAAGGTCTGCATTCTAGCCAATGGGAAGGAGAATAGGGAGAAAACTTCCAAGTGTGGTTCTTGAACCACACTTGGAATCCACAAGGATTCCAAGGGGGAATCCTTGAGACCCTCTCATGGGATCTCTGACATTACTATTTTTATAATACCTACATTATTTGCCCTTTCTGTTCTCATTGTCTTATGAGCATAAAGTGAAGTTTTCCAAAGGCTAAGTGACAGGTGATATTGCAACAGATTAAATGCAGAAGAAACCCTTGGTGGGGGTAGGGGTGAGGGTGCACCTGGGCTATAAGCAGACACTCTTCAGATACCAGTAGTGATGGCTTAGGTGCACTTTATTGGTTTTCTTTCAGAATCCTTCTACAAAAGAGTAAAGTTAAAAACCAAGTCCCTGGCAAGAGGGTGAGAACCCTTCCTCTTTCCCGAGAGCCATCCCCCCTCCCCATGTTCCCCAGCTGTGTCACTGCTGCAGTTCATGGGTGTGGGGCACTTGCTACTTTCATCCCCCACCAAGCTCCAAAGGGAAAAGACCTACCACCTGGCAACCCCTGCCCCTCAGCCCCATCCCCCCACACGTTGATCCTGGTTACAGGAGGCAGTGGTAAGAACTGTTGGGGTCCAGGAGGAGTTCTGAACCCCAGAAGGCCATAGTCAGGGCACAGTCCATGAAGAACACTTCCTCCTCTGGCTCAGTGCCCCCTAGGAACGCTGTTTTGCCCACGACCTGAGAGTAGAAAAAGAAATCAGTGAAAACCCCTCAGCTTCGACCCCAGTTGTACGTGGTACAGGGGAATCAAGGCTGACACATAAGGTTAGGCAGGTTGTACATAGCACAAAGGTACCACATCTAAGCAGGCACCATTAATGTCATAGACATCATACATAGGTTTTACATTTATCACAGACATTTATTATAAACCATGGCCAGCAGCCTCCCCGACCCCTTATCCCTGCTGTTACCACCTCACTCACAGAGGCCAGCTGCACACTCCCTGGCCAGGGAGGATCAGAAGTCGGGGCCTTATCTGGGAGCTGGTGCAGGTAAATGCAGTCTGACTTGAAGGGGCAGCGGCCATTCCCCCGCATGAAGAACCGGCAACGAATCTGGCTATGAGAGGGCAGAAGGATAGAAGACCATCACCTTCAAGCCCAGTTGCCCCGGAAACAAGGGGCACTCAAGGCTGACATGTAATGTTGGGTAGGTTATACACAGCACAAAGGCACCACCACATCTATCCTGGCACTTCTAGGGTCACATAGACAAGTGTAGATGTTATATTTATTACAATTATTTCCCAGCAGATGGCAGTAAAGTGTCTTAAGTGGTACCTTTCTCTTAATTCCCACAAAGTCTATTTGGGACAGCAGCGACCCTGGGAATCTCCTTTCCTTCTTTGAACTAAGTTTCAGTAATACCACCAAAGGAGGAGGGAGAGCAGTTAACCCTACAATGTGTCTCTGTAACCAGGTTAGAACAATGCCCTCTTCTGAGGGGTGGTCTTATGATTTGGTAACTGCTAGCTAATGAAATTGATTAAGAAGTTTCCCACTTCTGAGATTTCAAATTTCATTCTGTGAAAGGTCAGATACAGGAAGGGTTTGTGGGCAACTTGTGATCTGTTTAAGTAGGAACGGCTTTTTCTTGCACAGAAAGATGGACGAGAGGGAGAAAAAGATAAAGCGCATATTTATAGCCTTTTTCCTTTTTCCTGCATCATCACCTCTCTGCTTGACTCCAACGCAGTTGAGTCTTCCCCACTTCCTGCAGTCCCAGCGTGAATGGAGGATCCTGCTGACCACCAAGCTG